CCTGCAAATTTTTTATGTTTTTAGTAGAGACAAGGTTTCACCATGTTGGCCAGGCTGGTCTCGAACTCTTGAGCTCAAGTGATCTGCCCATCTTGGCCTCCCAAAGTGCTAGGATTACAGGCGTGAGCCACTGTGCCCAGCAAAAAGCAACAATTCTATCAGTGCATCTCCGAGGACTTATGAATCCAGGGCAGGCACAGCTGCTCTTGGATCCTCGGGTTCCCCAGATAGAAGCAGAGAAACAGCAGCCTTGTCTTGTCCCTTCAGCTCTCTCCTTTTCCAGCCTACAATATCTTTCAAGCAGCACTTTGCTAGAAATGAGAAGTACATTATTGTAAAATTCTCTTCTTCATATGACCCCATAACCAGCTGACCTGGGTTCACCCCAAGATGTCCACATATCCTGGCCAAATTTCACATCACTATTTACAAATTGCCAGAATAAATTATAAATTGGCTACATTGCTGGAATCGGACTGAGCAACAGGATACAGCCTGACCGGGGCGTAAATGAAGCCACAGCCACCAGAAAGAAAGCCGGGTCTTGTGTGATAAAATTCATCTTCATTCTCTCTCTCTCTCTTTTTTTTTTGGATACAGAGTCTTGCTCTGTTGCCCAGGCTGGAGTGCAATGGTGTAACCTCGGCTCGCTGCAACCTCTGCCTCCCAGGTTCCAGTGATTCTCCTGCCTCAGCCTCCCAAGTAGCTGAGATCACAGGCGCCCACCACAACGTCCAGGTAACTTTTTGTATTTTTAGTAGAGACGGGGTTTCACCATGTTAGCCAGGCTGGTCTTGAACTTCTGACCTCAGGTCATCTGCCCATCTTGGCCTCCCAACGTGCTGGGGTTACAGGCGTGAGCCACTGCCCCTGGCTTAAATTCATCTTCATTCTCTACATAGCAGTTGAATATAGGGTCCTTTTCTGGTGTGTTTGAGGCATATAAATACAGGATGGGGACATTATACCTGTGCTTAAAGATATTTTATTTTTATTTTATTACTAAAACAGGTCTCACCCTGTCACCCAGGCTGGAGTGCAGTGATGCAATCACAGCTCACTGAAAGCCTCAAACTCCTGGGCTCAAGCGATCTTCCTGCCTCAGCCTCCCAAGCAGCTGGGACTAAAGGCCCACACCAGCATGCCTGGCTAATTTTTGTGTTTTTTGTAGAGATGGGATCTTACCAGGTTGCCCAGGCTGGTCTTGAACCCCTGGGCTCAAGTGATCCTCCTGCCTCATCTTCCCACAGTCCTGGGATTACAGACATGAGCCACTGTGCCCAGCCAAGATACTTTATTCTGTTTAGAATTGTGATGATACAAATTTGAACTCAAAAACTACATTTAAAGAAATTATGTAATACCCACTGGGATGGCTATAATTTAAAAAAAAAAGAAAAGGAAGTGTTGACAAGGATGTGGAGATATTGGAACCCACATATATTACTGGAAGGAATGAATATAACATGATACAGCCACAATGGAAAATGATTTGGCAGTTCCTCAAAAAGTTGAACATAATAGTCACCATATGTCCTAGCAATTCCACTTCTAGGTACATACCCAAGATAATTTAAAGAGGGGAGGCAAACAGATACTCCTACCAGTATTCAAGCACCATTACTCACTGTAGCCAAGAAGTACAGACAACACAAATGTCCGTCAAAAGAAGAATGGGGCCGGGCGCAGTGGCACACGCCTGTAATCCCAGCACTTTGGGAGGCTGATGCGGGTGGATCACCTGAGGTCAGGAGTTCAAGACCACCCTGGCCAACACAGTGAAACCCCATCTCTACTAAAAATACAAAAATTAGCCAGGCGTGGTGGCGTGTGCCTGTACTTCCAGCTACTCAGGAGGCTGAGGCAGGAGAATAGCTTGAATTTGGGAGGTAGAGGTTGCAGTGAGCCGAGTTTGTGCCACTGCACTGCAGCCTGAGCCACAGAGCAAGACTTCATCTCAAAAAAGAAAAAA